ACGTTGTATCATTGTTAGGCTCATGGTAATGGTTGTCGATTGGAGAAACTCCCCACAAGTAAAGTATATTATTTTAATGTTGTTTTCATTGTATATCTTATTGTAAAACTTAAATGGTTTTCACTTCATGTTCATGTATTGATTCAGTTTAGTTTCTTTCGGTCATTCAGTTCAGTTATTTCTTTACTCAGCTATATTACATACTCGTACATTTCATATACTGATGTCATTTGACCTGCATCCTTTTATAATGCAGATATAGGTGTTCATAATTATCAACAGGAGCTTTATTGAGATCACCCTACACTCTAGTTAGCTTTGTTGAACCCCTTGTATTCTAGAGGACCGCACAACTACTTTCGAGTTAGTAGTTTTGAGTTGTCGTGGGTCTTGACTCGACATCCTTTCTTAATAGTAGGGGCTTCATAGACAAACAGTTTTGGAGAGTCTTTCAGTTTTCAGATATTTTATTTAAACTTATGTTTCATACTAAGTATATTCAGCAAAGTTTTGAGATTCAATAAAATATTTTTAAACGTTTCTTTCAATTTGATGCTTATGTATACTCAGGTTAGTCTTTCGATAGTAGTCAGCCAGGCTGAGGGTTCACTTGGGAACCAGCAATAGTTCTGGAGTGCCGGCCACATCCAGGGTGTAGGCTCAGGTCGTGAAAAATAGTTTACTGCATCTCAAAACTTTTATGAATATACTGAGTATGAAATATAAGTTTAAATAAAACATCTAAAAATTGAAAGACTCTCCAAATCTGTTTATCTATGAAGCCTCTACTGTATAAAGATGAATGTCCAAACAAGGCCCACGACTCTTCAAAAACTGCTACTAATAACTCACAAAATTGGAGTCCTCCGGAAGCAAGGAGGTCTTACTCAAAAGCTGACGAGCGGATGAAGTAATCTCAACAGAATCTTGTTGAGAATCTTAAGAACCTGTATTTACATCATTAAAAGATGCAGGTCGAATGACATCAGTAGATTGAATGTACGTGTATGTAATATAGCCGAATAACTAATAACTGAACTAATATGACTGCAATGCATAAAACATAAACTAAACGGAATGTAAAGTATTAAAGGAATGAAATCATTCAAAAATTTACAAAAACACTCACTCATCTCTGAACCTCAACATAATAAGTGATATAATAAAACTACAGATGCAACTCTATTTGGGAGATTATCTAACTGACAACCATCACTCTGAGCTATGTAATGATACAACGTCTTGTCCATGCTGCCAGAACTATCATATACCTTGTCGGAGTATAGAACACCTCAACTAAGTGGATCCACTAAGCAAGAAGGATTCATCTAAAAAGTATGATGATTTACCCATGATGGCAGACATGGTTTATGAGGATTTTGAGTTGCCTGAACTTATCCCCATATCGGTACTCAATACTACTCCTAATAATATACTCATGCTTAAATGTATAAAACATACTTTTTCTCTGTTTTGAGGTAATTACTCAAAATAACCTCTTAAAAGAGGTAACTTCTCTGAAATATCTCTAAACTCATTAACTCATTTAGAAATCAAAGTTTCTCTTTTCTCGATGTAAAACCTGATACATTTGGGAATACTTACTTCCCTTTTACCGTTACTCAATTCATATTTGTAAACTTTCTCAAAACTATATCAAAAATCATATTGTGATCTTATCATTGATGACTTGGGAAGTCTTACTGCATAAACATTGATGTCATATCTAGATACCATACTACTTAAATATTGATTGCATACTCAATTGTCATACTAATCATGTTTCAAAACTCATTTTGGAAAGAATGAAATTCTTGGAGAAAGACTTACCTTGAAGAAGAATCTTGAAAAAATCTTGAATGGAAGTCTTTTACTTTGATTTTTTTTCCTTAGGGTTTTGCCTTAGTATTTGAGAGAGAAGAGAATGAGGGATTAAGAGATGAAAATATGATCATTTTGGGCCTTTAATTAGTCAAAAATTCATTTAGGGTTTTCTTAGAGGTGAAAAGACAAAAAGACCCTTTTTAATGTTTTCTCGTCGGCTAATTCGTTACTGAACTGTATCAGGTTACTAAAATTGTCATAACTTGTTACTTGAAAATCAGATTGTTGCGAAATTTGTGGTGTTGGAAAAAAGATGCAAATATGTTTAATTTGATAGGTTATGAGACACATAACCCTTTAAATGTGAAGCGATATGGCCGTTTGAAATTGATCCAGTTAGAATCTTACATCAAAACTTAATTAGTATGGAAGCTTTCAACTAAACTTTGTGCTAAGGGATCCTAGTGACCTTAATTCATATCCAAATTCATTCCATCACTAAAGAATTGACCTTTACACATATGGGTAGTTTAAGAATCATCTGGTACAATCTTATTCACAAATGAAGAATGGTTCGAGTCTTAAGTTAGAAATTTTTGGAGCGTTATACAAACGAACGGGGTACTGGTAGGATGACGCGGTTATTATAGTAATTGCGACATACATAAGTAACTACAACATAGTAAACCACACATATACAGAAAGAATAACAATTTACCAGTTCATGCTCAATATATCAGTTTCACAATATCAATCTCAAATACAAAAGTCAATGATTGTTATCTCATGGAACCCACACTCAAACTGTTAGTGTGTAAGAATGTGAGACCAGATCCAACAATGAGTGGGAACGTGACACCCGATCCAATATGTGTCAGAATGTGACACCCGATCTAATTATGTGTCAAAACACAACACCCGATCAAATCAACCATAATCACAAACACAATCAACACCACAATGAATGATTTACACACGTGTGTCGTACAACCAGGTAACAGGTTCATTGCATGCTATAGAATCATACATAGTAATTTCATTAGATTCATTTTGTCTTTCCTTATTCACCTACATGCATGAATACAATAGAGAGTTAGCAAGCATATATAACAAAAAATAGTAAATCAAACCATCACGTACCTCGAAACCAAGCCTGAACACTCTTAAGGAACTTGAGCTTTCCCTTTGCGGAGTCTCTCAGCTTGTTCTTTGTCTATAACAAGTGATTTCTTCAAATAATCAACAGTAGTAGTCTAGTTTACCCGAATTATATCAAAATACTGGCCCTTGGCCAATTCCATGATCCTAACACCCAATTAGGGCTTTTTCCACCATTAATTTCAAGTCAAAACCCTCCCTCAAGGATAAATAGAAAGGATTCTAAGTTCTAAAAATCAATTTATGATCTAGGGGAGTAATTTACTTACCTTAAGTGCGAGAATTAGTGAAAAACAAGAATAAATAGCCCTAGGTCACCCTTTTTCTCTCCAAGAACGAAGTCCGCAGAAAAATATCATATTTGGGTTTTTTCCAGCTTTTACTCGCGACTGGCCCGCCATAGTGGCCCTACCAAGGCTGCAATAATCCCACCGTGGTGGGTTGCACGAAGATAGAGACTCGGAATTTTCTTTCCAATTTATTTCGTAAAGTCGTACAGGCTCCTTATCGTCTTGGCTATCCACTCTAATGATCAAATTTATAATCCAATACCCCATCCATTAGCAGATTACCCTAGATCTTACCTGACTTAGATTTTGTCCGAGTGTGTCCTAGGCTTGAAATTTCCAAGTTACTACTCAGAAATTTTCTAGTCCAAATTCCTTTCTCATTAGCTTATCCATAAAGACGGGAATAGGTTGTTATAATAGATACCAATTTACCCATCACTCATCTGCTAGTGATAAACTAGGAAAACTAGGCTAAGGCAAGAATAAAGTAGTACCTGATTCGTAAAATAATGAGGGATACTTGTCTAGCATGTCCATCTCGATTTCCCAAGTAGCTTCCTTAATTGGTTGATTCTTCAATTGAACCTTCACTAACCTAATCTATTTGGTTCTCAGCTTTCGGACATCACGATCAAGGATTGCAACTGGTTCCTCTTCATACTGAAGATCTTTGTTTAAAAATACTGAGTCCCATTTGATGATATAATATCCATCCCCATGATAATTCTTCAACATAGACACATGGAATACTGGATGGACTCTATATAGGCTAGGCAGTAAAGCCAACATGTAAGCCACTGGCCCTATACTCAAAGATCTCAAATGAGCCAATGTAGCGAGGATTAAACTTGCCTTTCTTGCTTAATCTCATCACCCCCTTTATGGGTGACACCTTCAGAAGACCTTGTTCCCTAGCCTGAAATTCCATGTCCCTTACCTTACGATATACATACTCTTTCTATCGACTTTGAGCAGCTAGAAGCTTAGCCTGGATACTCCTCACCTTATCCTGGGCATTATTTACCAAATCCACCCCCAAAGGTTTCACATCTCCACCCTTAAACCATTTTATGGGCGATAAACATCCCCTCCCACAAAGTGCTTGAAACAGTGCCATATTGATGTTGGAGTGATTCCTATTGTTGTAGGAGTTACTCACACAGAGGTAGGAATTTATCCTAATTCCCTCCATACTCAATTACATATGCCCCTAACATGTCTCCCAACACTTAAATTGTTCTCTCCAATTGTCCATCAGTCTGTGGATGAAAAGTTATGTTGAAAGTGAGTTTAGTGCCCAACTCTTCATGAAACTTCTCCCAAAACTTTGATGCAAACTGCGTACACGGTCTGAGATGATAGAAATAGGCACCCCGTGCAGCTTTACTATCTCCTTAACATAAACTTTTCCAACTGATGGGCATTATAGTCTACTCTGACTAGAATGAAGTGGCCTGACTTAGTCAGTCTTTCAACCTCAACCCATATGGAGTTAAACTTTCCCAGGGTTTTGGGAAGACCAACCACAAAGTCCATAACTATCATTTCCCACTTCCACTCGGGCATTGGCATTCTCTGAAGCAAACCAACAGGCCTTTGATGCTCATAATTTAACTGCTGATAGTTTTGGCACTTAGCCACAAACTCAGCTATGTCTTTCTTCATGCTAGACCACTGATAAAGTCGCTTCAAGTCTCGATACATCTTGGTCACACTTGGATAAATAGATTACCACAAACCGTGAGATTCTGTCAACACCTTTTGTATCAAGTCATCCACTCGAGGAAGGAAAATCTTCCTCCTTAAACTAAGCACACCACCTGCATAAAGAGCAACATCGTGTGCCTTTCCAGACACCAACTTCTTTCTGAGCTCATTAAAAGTCTCATTCTCAAATTCCTTGGCTTTGATCTCTTTAATTAAAGTGGGTCTAACCTCAATGCTGGCTAACACCCCACCTTTCTCTCAGATGCCCAACTGCATGAACCTGGACTCCATGGTCGAGATCTCCCTAGCCAAGGGTTGCCTAGACACACCCAAGCAAGATAAACTGCTCATACTCATTGTCTTCCGACTTAATGTGTCTTCCACCACATTAGCCTTACCCACATGGTATTGAATGTTGACATGATAATGTTTAAGTAACTACATCCATCTTTGTTGTCTCATGATCAAGTCTTTCTGAGTGAACACATGTTGTAGACTACGATGATCAGTGAACACTTCATACATGACTTCACTTAGATAATGTCGCCAAATCTTGATAGAAAACACTACCGTTGCCAACTCAAAATCACGTGTCAGATAGTTCCTCTCATGAATCTTCAACTTTCGTGAGGCATAAACTATGAAATTCTTATCCTGCATCAACACAACACCAAAGCACGAATGTGAAGTATCACAATAAACAATGAAATCCTTATCTTCCACAGGCAATGACAGAATCGGTGTTGTGGTCAGAAGAGTCTTGAACTTTTGGAAGATCTCTTCACATTTGTTAGTCCACTAAAAAAGGTACCTCATTTTGAGTCAGCCTTGTCAAATGCGTGGCAATACAGGCTAAATTCTTCAAAAATCGTCGATCGTAGCTGGCAAGCCCCACAAAACTCCTAACCTCAGTCACAAAACTAGGTCGGACCAAGTTCTTGACTCCTTCAATATTTTGGGGATCTACCATTACCCCTTCTTTTAAAACTACATGCACCAAAAATGCAATCGGGAACAACCTAAATTTAGACATCGAAAATTTTGCATACAATTTAAGTTTCCCAAGGACACCCAGAACAATACGAAGATGGTGTGCATGCACTTCCTTACTCTTTGAATAGACCAAAATGTCATCAATAAAGACAATTACAAATGAATCCATAAATCATCTGAATACACCATTCATCAAACTCATTAAGGGTGCAGGTGCATTGGTGAACCCAAATGATAGCACCAAGAAATCATAGTGCCCATACCGAGTCTTGAATGTCGTCTTAGATACATCCTCGGGCCTAATATTTAATTGATGGTACCCAGACCTTAAATTAATTTTAGAGAATACTGATGCACCCCGCAAAGAGATCATCTATACGAGGCAACGGGTACTTATTTCAAATGTTGACCCTAATCAACTGTTGGTAGTCTATGCACATCCTCATTCTACCATCCTTCTTCTTAACAAACAAGATAGGAGCACCCCACGGGGAAGCACTAGGATGGATGAAACCCTTATCAATGAGCTCTTGGATCTGGGTCTTAAACTCTCTTAACTCTGCTGGAGCCATGTGATAAGGAGGGATAGAGTTTGGGCGAGTTCCCGGCTAAAAGTCAATACAAAAATCTATATCTCTAGTAGGCATACAAGGTACATCAATAGCAAACACTTCCTTAAACACAGACACTACAGTAATGGACAGAATAAAGGGGGACACTGCATCGACATCCCGAATATGAGCCAACTATACCAAACACCCCTGCCCCATAAGTTTTCTAGACTGGATAAAATATATGATCTTAGTTGGCTGAGGTTTTTACACCCCTCCCCATTCTAACTTTTTCCTACCTAAGATCTCTAGAGTCACAGTCTTAGCATTACAATTAAGCACAAAATAATAAGGGGACAACCAAGTAATGCCTAAGATTACATGAAGGTCAGTCATATCCAAATTAACCAAATATTTCCAAGTTTGAAAACTCATAATCAGGACAGAAGAAGCACGATAGGCATGGGTGACTACGAAAGACTCTTCAACTGGGGTAGAAACATGGATGGGAGCATCAAGCACATAAAAAATCTGAAGGAAAACTATATTGTCACATAAGAGTAAGTAGAACTCGGATCAAACAAAATAGTAGCCATTCGATCACAGATAAGAATAGTACATGTGATCGCTTCATCAAATGCTTCAGCCTCGATGTTGCCCAAAAAGGCATAAAATTCAGCCGTTTTATCCTAACGGGCAACCCCTCTTCTTGGTTGCACTGCTCCACTACATGCATTACCATTTCACTAGCCTCCACGGGATCTTTGATTTCCTCCTCACCCACTTTGTGTATGTCCTATTCGATTATTACCTCCGCCCACTCGCACCACTGCTCAGACCTACTATTGCACAACTTCAGTCATGCGCGGGTGGGGACAATTTCTCGTCATGTGTCCTGGTTCTCCACAATTGTAACAATTCTCGTCAAGATACGGCTTGTTGCCCTGCACAAAAGAGGCTCTCTGACCATCCTGGGTAGGATTCTTCTACTGAGTCCTTGAGTAACAACTCGTAGAAGCGAGAATAGCTGACTGAATTGGCCGGGTGTATTCTTGGGCTTCTTAGCCAAAGGCTTGGTCATCCCATCCCGCGAACTCCTTATACCTTCTTCACAAAGTTTTTCACTTCATTAAGGCTTTTACTTGCAAAGATCATGTGAACAGACAATACATGTAACTAGGGATTCAATCCCTTGACTAATAAACGGATCCTCTCTTCCTCTGTAGTCACCAACTGCGTAGCATATCTGGAAAACGCTTGGAACTTAACCTCATAAGTAGCTACAGTCATACCACCCTGCTCAAAATCTATGAACTCATCCTTCTTGTGGTCCCTCAAAGTCCGGGGCACATACTTTTCCAGAAACATGGCATTAAATTGAACCCAGATGAGTGGAGGCAAGTCTGGCGATCAAAATTCCACAAAGGCTCTCCACCACTGCTTAGCCTTACTTTGAACCTGAAAGGTCACGAACTCAACTCCATGCTCGTGCACAATGCCTAACTTGTAAAGTCTCTCATAGAAATCTATTTAGAACTCATAGGCATCTTCACTTTCAGAACCATGGAACACTGGCAATTTTAACTTCAAAAACATGGTCAGCATGTCTGAATGAGTGCCAATCATCACAAGGCCCAAAAGTAGATGGAAAAAGACATCAGCTTCCAACACTCCATCCATCTTAGGGACTATAGTTGCAACGAGGTGGATGACTGGAGGTTGAGCAACTTTCACCGTGGGAATGGCTCCAGAGCCGACCAACCTTCTCTGAAAAGTCAAAATATGATGACCTATAGTTGGATCCAAAGGGTGAAGTCCTGCAGCCCCAGCATGTGCATTCTCTTCTGGTTCAGTATCCTGTTCCATCTCCACATTCTCTTCTACCTCGGCATGTGGTGCGGGATGGGCCTCTCTCCTGGGTACATTCTCAACTTAAGTTTCACCCTCTGCAGGTGCTACCCTTCCTCGGCCTCTGCCCCTTACTCTTCCTCTACCCATGCCTCAGTCACGTACTCTCATTGGGGTTCCCTTGTTGGCTCATTTATGAAAGCTACTGGCCAAGCGTCGTTGTTTCGTGTGTTAACTATCTGCCTACCAAAGAATATAAGAGATTAGATACCAATATGGATCACCACATACCAATTGGGATCAAATCATAACACGAAGGAGAAGAAGATAGAGAGATTTTCCTAAAGTCCTGTAGCCTCTTGAAAAAAAGTACAGACATCTCCGTACCATTCCTCAAGACTTTACTAGACTCGTTTCGGTACAACGAGATCAACGAACCTAGGGTTGTAATACCAACTTTATCACGTCCCAAACTGCCGTGATTTGCACCCATACTGTCACGACCCAAGCCTAGAGCCTAGACGTGACCGGCGAATGGGGAACCCGAAGGAACCCCAAACAAGCCTCATAGCGTATCATTACACATCCTTGGTCGCGGAAGCAATTACACATTGTCACTAAGGACCAGGGCCAAAATAGAATTTTCTTTCCCACACAATGTAGCAATTCACCCTTAGCTATATCAACCAATATTTTTGTCACGACCCAAGCCTAGGGCCTAGACGTGACCGGCGAATGGGGAACCCGAAGGAACCCCAAACAAGCCTCATAGCGTATCATTACACATCCTTGGTCGCGGAAGCAATTAAAATGACCATAAGCGATAAGCATAATCAAGGGGAAAATCGGGACTAAGAGAGCAAGAGAAAAATAAAGGAATGATACATAAATCTCATAGATGAGTCAAGCTCAAGCATAATACACAACTTGTCCAACACCACCTCTAAACATGGGTACGTAGCGGGGGCCAAGAAAAACTACCGGGCTCACCCTCATAGTCAATACATAACAAAAAGAAAAGTCTTATACATAGCAAGAGATCATAAGCAACGTCCCCGGAATGGAGGACTCACCAATAACCTCGATAGAAAATTGTACTAGCCACGCGGAGGAGGATGGTCAAGCGATGCTCCGGTTCCTACATGGTGACATTATGTAGGCATAGAGTATGCATTAGTACATTTGAATGTACTAAGTATATGGGATGCAATGCAATGCAACAATAGATGGACATCAAAGGCAAAATGCATAATCATACCCGATAGATATCATATTAATGAGATGATATGTATAATGATGCTTTACATAAAAATCATATTTAGTAGGGCGCAGTACATGTGTGGCGAATGACCATCAATATAGTATTTCCAAGGCCTACCACCACCTTGGAGCGGCGAAAGAGGTACAAACCCCTCAATGTGGTTACCCGGGCCTACCACCCCCGAGCTAGGGACCAAGGTACAAAACCCCTCGATATGGTTATACGGGCTTACTACCCCCCGTTCTAGGCAACCAATGTACCAACCCCTCGATACGGTTACCCGGGCCTACAACCCCTCGAGCTAGGCTTGGTCGACACACCACACTTATATAGAGAAAATCATATTTATGTGTCCATTTCATCATCATTTCAATAATTATATAACCATTCGATTCATAAGACGTACATTGGACCTTCCATTTCCTAAGAATTCTATAAATGACATTTTATCAAACACATGGTGGGCTACGGTTCATGTAAATAAAATCATGTATTTCAAGAGTACTAAGTCCAACCAATTCCAAAATCCATATAAATCAGCCCACCAACAACATACATATATATATACATATATAACAACCTTCATAATTTGATCATGGAGGCATGAAAACCATAAACATCATATAATCATTCCATTTCATGATAATATACAAAAATAGACCATAATAGGATGTGTAGTAATAATTCCATAATTCAAGAGTTCATAAATGATCATAAGGACCCATAAACTTGAAGTAAAAATAGAGGATAAATGGTTGGACTTGTGGAAAGGAAGGTTTCCACAATCAACCCACATACCTCAACTTTGGAGAATTCTTGATGAAGATTGGAATGGAGAATTGAAGCTTGAGATTGAGTCTTGAATAATTAGAGCTTGAGATGTTTGAATTTGGTTGAAGATCTTGATGGAATTTTGGAGAGGGATTAGTGAGTGTTTTTGAGTGTTTTGAAGCTAGAAAAAATTATAACTAAGTATGGGACATATCTTCTTTTATAAAAGAAAAAACGTCCTAGCCGCTACAGTGAATTTGCTCACTGGAATTTGCACCTCTGCCCGGACATGTTTTACGAAAATGATCATAACTCCTTCATCCTAACTCGGAATGAGGTGAAACCAAGTGCATACATTTTTTGCGATTTTTGAATTTTGATACGGTTGCTCTAAAATTCGGGTTAGACCCGTCCCCCACTCAATTTGACCCCATGAATAAGTATATGAAGTCCAATTTCCGAAATGATGCACGGGTTTTGAGATATATGAAAATTACAATTATAGGTGTTTTCGAAGCACATTTTCGGGCATTTTTGGGGTCGTTT